TGATTACTCTAAATTGGACTTGGGTTAGGATGTGAATGGGCCGGAGGAATTTTCAGTAGGCTGAGAGTTTAATGTTAATAACCTTGAGTCGATAGCAACTTTATTTGGGCTTGATCAAGATTGGGCTTTTGGAGAACAATTGGGATTGTACCTTATTTTAATGACGTGGCTGATTTCTATTGGAGGGGGAATTTTCCCTCCACAATTACTCTTTTCTTCTATTTTTTTGGTTAAATTAATCTATTCAATACTCTTATTAACACATAAATCAAACATTAAAAAAAGATGTTACTTAATTTAGAATAGGGGTAAATGATAGCGAGTTGGATCATGGACAAATTCGACTAATTTTTTGTGAGTAAAAGGTGATATCATCGTGATGTCAACTTCTCTCATATAAATCAGTCGGAATTGTCTTACTTTCGAACTCCCAATTATTATTTTTTCCATCTCGAGTTTACTCTTACTAATTTTAATTAATTTGTATCAAGCATGTTTTCATAATCTTTCAATTCAATGAAAGAAAGTGCAAGCTAGTGTGAGACTTGGATAACAAAATCAAGTGATCTGGTAGCATAATTCAAGCTCGAGCAAGCCAAATTGGAATAAGAAATGGTGTTGTAAGGTTCATTTTATAACCAATGGCTTTGTAGTTTTGATGGCCAAGAGTTCAATTTTATACATGAACAAACGTGAATGTTTGAATATGTTTCTTCTCTTGAAAAAAAAAAATTGGTTCATTTTATAGGTTCAATCAAAATCGTTTCAAATAAATTTTACTAAATTGAATAATCCACTTATTATGATTCAATGGATTGTTTAATTAGTACCTCAAACTCATTATAGTTTTTAAAAGAACCTAGATCAGTTGAAATGCAAATTGAATTGACGGCAATTTGGGATTTATCTGCATTTTTGGTTATTGAGAAACAAGAATTGATGGGGTTAGTCGCTTGAGACCGAAGAAGTTATTGTAAAATAGTGTGCCAACAACCAACTACCTGGCTCCATTTTTAGGTTGCAAATCTGATCTTCGTACCTATGTAGTTGTAAAATTTAATTCTGTTACATGTCAAACATGCTCATTTGACCGAAGTGACATAAAGTGAGAGTTGGAGCGAGAGCGGGAGCGTGAGAACGGCAGAATTAAGTCATAAGTAATGAAAATTTGAACAAGAGTGCGCGTAAAGCGAGAGCGACAATTTGGGATTTATTTGAAATTTTGAAGTTTTTTTATTTTATTTTTAGAATAGGGGTACATTTAAAAAAGATGTTACTTAATTTAGAGAGGGGTAAATGATAGGGAATTGGACCGTTAACAAATTCAACTAATGTTTTGTGAGTAGAAGGTGATGTCATTGTGATGTCAACTTCACTCACATAAATGAGTAGGAATTATTCTACTTTCTAACTCTCAATCATTATTCTTTTATCTTGAGTTTAGTCTTAATAATTTTAGTTAATTTATATCAAGCATGCTTTCATAATCTTTCAATTCAATGGAAGAAAGTGCAAGCTAGTGTGAGATTTGGATAACAAAATAAAAAATTGCTCACCACTCTGCTCTCTCCAATCTTATTGCCGAAGGTGATTGTAAGAATCTCATTTTTGTGCACATTTCTTGTCAATACATAAGAAAAAGTCGATTCACAAATATATGTGTTTGTGGGTGTAAAGTTGGTGTATTTGTGTATGTATTGATCATCATTTCTCCAACTTCTCACTTGGAAAATTTTGGGAACCTCTGTATTAAGCCTTTCTTGAGCTTTCTGACTTTAGCAAAATTTTCAGCTAGTCATATTGTACTTAGTTAAGAGTAGAATGTAGAAGACGACTTGGTAGAATTCTTACTAAGCTTCTCATATGCTAAGATAAGCAAAATCAATATTGATAGTAATATCTACTTAATAAAAGCAGGTGAAGAAGGGTTGAACAAATTATATAGTATATTTGTGTATATATGCACGGAGAATTGAATGGACAAAAATAGCCACATTAGCTTACTGGAATATCACCAATTATTAAGGTCCAACAGCATGCAAAATATATAAAATAGAGATGATCATTTCATACAAATGTTGGCCTGCAACAAAGGGAAGAAATTTAATAATTCCATTAAGGGTTTTATAGTCTAACAATACCAAGTTACACTTTCCAAAGCCGATCATAGAAGCTTCGCTTTACTTTCGATCATAATTCCGCAGATACATTTCCAAGCCTTTCAGGTGATGAATGAGAAGAATAAGTAAATAATTGGTAAAAAATTGTTACCATCCCTACTAGTAGACATAGGACAGGGATTTTTTTTTTTTTTTTTCTTTTTTCTTTTAAATTAACCAATCACTAATTCCATTGTTATAGGTAATCTTGTTTTTAGTTGTCTAGCACATTCTTTAGCAGCTTCCATTGTCCCGTCTTGCGCTGGATGTCTAACGTATAACATAAGTTGAGAATCAATTATTATTTATTTTCTCCGAATAAAACATCTACATAACAATAATCTCAAAGCCAAAAAATGTATCCTATACCTGAAACGGCTACAAAATTCTCTACAACCTCTCCCATTAACCCAACAAAAAAGAGAACCAAAAATAGACTGCACTAATATCAAATAGAAGATTCCATTCCTTTTTCCTTTGCATCAGTAAGTCCCACCAAATACAAAGTAGAATCAATCTCCTTGCATCTCCATCAAATGCAATTAACCAGTACATAAATGCATTTGAAGATTTTATTTTTTTATTTTTTTAATAATTGAAACAAGGTCACTTTAAACTATATCCATATATAGTTTAAAAAATAAATAAAAAATCTTTAAGATTTAACTGTTCTTAGAAAATTTTATGTGATTCTATGAAAGTTTTTAAGAATCTTTAATGCCTAAGAACAACACATTGGGAATAAAAAAAATAAATTATAAAAAAGCTATATATGCATATAATTTAATGTGATGTTGTTCAAATTAGGGCAAATTGCAATAAACTGTTCTCGACCTAAAACGCATATAATTTAATGTGATGTTGTTCAAATTAGGGCAAATTGCAATAAACTGTTCTCGACCTAAAACGTTTTGTAATAAATCCCTCGACTAATTTTTTTCCAAAAAAAACCCCTCAACTGTCCAAGGGGAGTAACTGAGTAGATGGAAAATCAGACCCTGTATTTTTTAGACGAAAATGCCCTTATTCCTATTATATAGAGCAAATTGCATAAAACCCCTTTTATTTTAAATTTTTGGCAAGAAATCTCCTGAAGTAAAAAGTTGACATAAAACTTGCCTAACTATACAATTTATTTTAAAGTGGTGTTATAATGACTAAAATGCCCCTTAATGCAAATTTAATAAAATGATGCCTTTTAATATTAAATTAAAATTAATAAATATAACTCATTTGGCATAGTGTTAATAAAAAAAATAAAATTAAATGGTGCATCTATAAGAAAATAAGAGTACCTTGAAACAATTTTTCAATTTTTTTTTTAATTTTTATTTATAAAATAAAAAGGAAAATAAAACCTAAAATGAAAATCATTTTAAAGTAAACCTAAATTTTCTTAAATTTATATTTAAGTGATGCTATAATGACAAAAAATTCATTTTTAATTTTATTATAGCATCACTTTAATATAAATTTCATTTTAAATTTAAATAATTTTATATTAGCAAAATTTTCTCCTAAAATAAAATGAAATTTTCGTTAATAAAAAATGAATGAAATTTTATGTTAAAGTGATGCTATAATGAAATTTAAAATAAAATTGAGTTATTTTCCCTCATATTAAATTAAAATGAAAATCATGTTATATTAAAGTGATGCTATGATTTAAATTTAAAATAAAATTTTATATTAAAACGATGCCATAATTTCATTTTTTTTTTCAAAGCAAGAAGTGTTATAACTTAGATTAGTAAATGTAGAGAGTCGAAACCTGGTACTCTAAAATTCACTGGAGGCACTAATTGTTACAAGGGGAGATTTGTTCTACTTCGGATCCAAATGGGATAATGATTGGGTTTAAATGAGTGGGTATGCAGCACTACCTAACATCTTAAGTTTTTGAAAAAATGGGCAAGCACCCACCCATTAGAGTTGGTATCAGAGTCGTACCCAATTCTTGATCCGATGTTACGCCAAGCACTGACCCGGAAGGCGTCTGGGTGAGCCATTCGGGTAGGCAGGGTGGCCAGACCACAACGAAGGTGTTGCAAGTTTGGGTGGGGGAGAATGTTATAAGGGGAGATTTGTCCCACATCAGATCCGGGTGAGAGAGTGATTGGGTATAAATGAGTGGGTATGCACCACTACTTAACAACTTAAGCTTTTGGATAAATAAGCAAGCGTCCACCCACTACACTAATCCATTGGGCTATCAAAACATTTGCAAATGATGCTATAATTAAAGTGACGCTATAATTTTATGATTTAAGAATTTAATGAAATTTATATATTAACAAAAAATTTCTCTAATATAATTTTTTTTCATAATTATAGCATTACTTTAATATAAATTTAAGAAAGTTTAGGTTTACTTTAAAATGATTTTCATTTTTGGTTTCTTTTCCTTTTTAATTTTTAGAAATAAAAATAATTTTTTTATTTTTTTATTTTTTTTCTGAAAATTGTTCCAAGGTACTTTTATTTTCGTATAGATGCACCATTTAAGTTTTTATTTTTTATTATTAAAACTATGCCAAATGAGTTATTTTAATTTAATATTAAAAGGCATCATTTTATTAAAGGTTTATTAAGGGTATTTTTGTCATTATAACACTACTTTGCAACAAATTATATAGTTAGGGAGTTTATGTCAACTTTTTTATTCATGGGCTTTCTTATTAAAAATTTAAAGTAGAGGGGGTTTTTATTCATAGGAATAAAGGCATTTTTGTTTAAAAAATATAGGCCTGATTTTCCATCCACTCAGCTACCCATTGGATAGTTGGGTGGATTTTTTGACAAAAAAATTAGTCGATGGGGTTTTATTATGAAATGTCCTAAGTTGGTTTATTGTCCTTTACTCTTTAAATTATTAAGAAAACATTATGTACTAGCTGAAAGTTTCTTTTTTTTTTCTTATTTAAAAAAATACTAGTAACATATTTAAAATGACCTTGTTTCAACTACTAAGAGAAAAACAAACCTTCAAATGCATTTTTTTCTTGTTGTGAGGGGCAATTTCGTCCCATAAAAGGATTTTTTATTTTTTTTTTACTGTGGTGCAGTGTTGCAATAACCAAAATACTTAGGTAGTTTTATGGCAACTTCTTTTTTAGAGGGGAGTTTTGACAAAAATTAAAACTAAAAGGGGTTTTATGCAATTTCCCCAAAATACACAGAATAATATCTTTGTACTCCGTATCCAATTGACGCAAAGTCTCTGACCAAACTAGGATTAACGAGATAAGATCGCAAAGTCTGTTGTGCTGGAAATTTCAGATCGGCATAGAAGAAGATAATATTGGCGAAGGGGAAGACCATATTGTATCTATTCATACTTCATAGCATGTTGTATCTCTGCAGATGTGTGTGCGTATATATATATATATATATATGTATGTATGTCAATTTGCTGATTTTTTAACTTCTGAATCATTGTTATATTTTATTTTATTCTTTTTGTAGGCGAAAGCAAATAAGGGCAGATCTCTGAATGATCGTAGCAAGCAAGCAAGCATATTGTTATCTAAATTGTGAAGAATTGGCCTGAATTTTGTCGGGGCATGATAATCTGTAATCTTCGTTTGTTCTTCGCTTGTTTTCATTGTTTTATATTTTCTGTCTGTTTTATTTTGTGATTGTGTTGTTGGTTTTGGTTTTGCAGTATTTGTAGTGAAATAAATTATTTATTCACAACTGTATCGTTAAAACGAGGAAGATAGTACAAAGAACATCTTCTTTCAAGCAACAAATGGTGAGTTCTATTCCAAGCACCCGAAAACAGTAATTGTTGTCAGGAAAAATTAAATCTTGTCAAGTTTTTTTTTTTATTATTATTATTATTTTGGATTTTGTAGTTCAAATTTCACGTCTCCTCGTCCCATATTGGAAATTGAGGTTTGAGTCCGACCAATGGGCGTTTGTCTTACTTAACAACTAGGGGTGGCCAGGATCAAGCCTAATCCGAACCAAGGGATTGGGAGATTTTGAATCTGCCACCAATCCGTTAGCCAACGGATCGGATTTTAGGGATCCGATCAAATTCAATCCGTGGACTGAATTTTTCAAAATAGTCTATGTTCACCAATTTCATATCCACTTACAAAGTAGTATAAGTGTATAACCGAACATAGATAAAACCAATTTAAATGCATAATAGGTGAGGCGGCCACTTTTCTCTTTGCTCTTCTTTAGTTCTTTGAGTTCTTTCATCTTTGGCTAGGTTTAGGTTTTGTTTAAATAAAAAGTCCGTTATTGATTGAGTAATAAATATTATAAAACTAATTGTATAATACTTACGAAAAAAAGAAAATAGAAAAAGTACGGTATGTTAGGAGTTCATATATATATATATATATATATATATATATATATATATATATAATATTATAGTGATATTACGGATTGGCCACAGATTTGTCATGGATCGGATTTTGATAGCCTAATCCGTGAACTATGGATTCAATTTTTTTGAATCCGCCACCAATCTGTGAGTCTAACAATCTGTTCCGTACGGATCGGATGCACGGATTCGCGGATTTTTTGCCCACCCCTATTAACAACCAAAAAATTAAAAAATAAAGAAAAATAATAATTGCTTACACGAACAACCCCAAACTCTTATGTTCTTTTGGATATTGTTAGTGTGGTGGTTATTAAATTTTTGACAAAGTAGTACTTAATGCATGTATGCTGGTCCCTAATTTTTTTAGTAGAAATAAATTTTTTAATAGAATATTGGCTTCATTATTTTTGTTGATGATGGTTTATTATTATTGTATTTACAATTATTTGGATGCTCAGAGAGGAGAGCATATGAAGGATGGAATCAGTGGATTGCCTGACGAAATCCTCATTACCATCCTGTCTCTTTTAACGCTCAGGGAAGCTGCATGTACTAGTATTCTCTCAAGCAGATGGAGATATTTATGGAGATATATAACTGTTATTTTCAATTTCGATTCAAAGACGTTACTAAGAGCTCCTGTAGATAATGTTACTTCATCATCTGAACGTGAACGTGAACGTGAACGTGAATGTGACCGTGAACGTGACCGTTTACCCATACATATACGTGAACGTGAACGTAAACGTGAACTTGTACGTGAACAAGAAAAAAGGCGTACTAAGTATGTAAGTTGTGTGAATAAAGTCTTGAAATTGCATCTTGGCTCCTCTATAGATGAAATGAGGATTTCTTTTAATTTCGCTGAGAACTACCCTCGTGATATCGATGATTGGATCAAGTTTGCAATGGAAAAGAGAGTTCAAAGGTTTGAATTCAATGTGTTTGCTGAGACTATACCCACTCGTGGGCGTCAATATTATGATTTTCCAAGCATGGAAAACTTCAAATTCTTATTTAGGAATTCACGCAGTCATATTGGTTCTGCAGCTGGCTTTAGTTCCTTGACAGCCCTTCGTTTGGTTGGTGTTAATATCATGGAGGAGGTGCTTGAGAATTTCCTATCCAACTGTCCATTTCTTGAACAATTATACATTGTGGGTACAACATGTCTAGTGAATCTAAAAATTGCTGGCTCTTCACTCAAATTGAAGTGCTTAGAGATATCTCACTGCCACTGTTTGAAAATTTTGGAAATTTCTGCAGCAAATCTTGTTTCATTCACCTACTTGGGACAAGATATAAGTGTGCCTTTTAAAAACGTTCCTCTTCTCTCTGAGCTATCTATTGCAGGGCCATTCTGTTCATCCTTTGTTTTTGGATCTTGCAAGCATTCCAGCTATATTCCTCAAATAGAAAAGCTCAAGTTAAAAGTGTTTTCTCAGGTTAGAATACACAATCATTGTGGTAGTATGCCTTCTTCTTCTTCTGTAAACATCATTACTAACTTGTGCTTACTTTTGGTAGGAGTTTTTTCGGTTCCCCATATATTTTCGTGAGCTAGGTAATCTCAAGCATGTGGAATTGTCTATCACGGGGGGATTTGCTGGTTGCAGCCTTCTTAGGTTTACTTCCGTGATTAAGGCATCTCCTAATTTGTCTAAGTTTTCTGTTCGGGTAAGTATCTTTTTTTATGTAATCTTAAGGTAATGTTTGCTGATGGAAGTATTATTATTGATTTTTTAAAATTATTTGTATGATTTTAAATAGACTATAAATGTAGACTGATAAGTAGAGAGAGAGAGAGGTGAAAGCAGAGAGATACATATATGATAGAACGTAAGATCTGTTTAAGAGGCTGAGGAGGTGAAAGGGACCATAACCCTGCCATGCTCGCTTCTGCAAGTAAATTTCCATCTAGAACTTAAAAGAGGAAACATATTGAATTTGATTTCTTACTGAAAAAAAATTGTCCCAAATTAAATTTAAAGAACAAGTTGAAGATGAAGAAGATAAAATTGAAAGCAATGCATTCCTAAAAAATGCCGTTACAAATACACCCTTAGTTTTGAGAACTTTGTGTGTTTGTACTTGTACAATTTGAGTAACCCAAGTAAAATCTTTCGTGGAGGCCTTCTAAATTTACCACATCTAGGCATCAAGTGTTAGGGAAAAGTAGACACGGAAGGAATGGGATAAGAGGCTGACAAATATAAGAATTTGAAAGAGAGGCAAATATCTTAAATTGTTCTCTATTATTAAAAAGGAAATAAGGGAAAAGAAAGGAGAAGGAATATATCTAATATCATCAGGAAACATAATTTTATAAAGAATCCATTGATCCTACCCACTGTTATCTTGCTTAGCCTAATATGTGATTACAAATGAAAAAAAAGTCCAAGTACTACAATGTGTTACTAGAATGTGAATAATATCAATATGTTATTACCAACCTAAAAAAAAAGTAAGTTGTACTAAATAAAGTGATTAAATTGATAAGGGTGAATTACCCTCACCTCCCCTGTCGTTTTTTCCTTTTCACTCTCAGATGAAACTTTGATCAAAATGGTGGTCAACCTTCCCTAAGGTTTTGAAAAAATCACAAATTTCCCCCTGCCCTCAAGTGATCATCTGATGGGTTGCAAAAATGCACTGGAGTGACCAAACTGCCCTTAAGTGTGTTAAATTTGCAAGAGTACCCTTCTAGTTGTTTGTAATGACTTGTATACCCATTACAATTTGGACCAAAATACCCTCAACTTTTGTTCTGTATGTGTGTGCGCGCGCGTTTATCCATGTATTTACCCTCTTACATTTATTAATATACCACTTCATGGAGGTTGATTTTCTTTTTGATTTTTTAATAGATTTAGAAATTAGTTTTTCTTTTAATAAATATTTATCTCCTTTTATTTTCCGTCATCTTGCATACAAATATATATTTACATACATATATGTAGTTTTATAATTATTGGTTTCTTGTTTTATGGCAGAACTGTTTCTCTTGACTCGATATATTTATACATGTATTTCATTCTATTGAGATCTGTGTTTGTTTTGTGGTGAAATTATGGAATTCACTCTTTTGCAATATAGACACACCAGTAATAAAGGGATCTTTTTGAGTTGCTTTTCCTTTCCTATTGCATATGACATGACAGTGTCTATGTTTTGAGTAATTTTACAGGGCATGGATAGTTCTCCTAAATCTGCTTTCTTGATTGCATAAGTAAAATAATATTTTCTGGAGCTATTTTGAATGTCTTATGATTGTTGAAGTGTCATTTGTTACGTGTTTTATAGTTATTTTTTCTCTTTAATATGCTTAAATGGCGTCCTATTGGAATTGGATTGAAGGATTTGTGTTTGCAGATGTTGATTAGTGAAGAGAGAAAATATTTTATACCTGTCCAATTTTCTACATTTCTTACCGTGGGTCTTTCTTAATCTGGTTGATGGTCCTGATCCAATGAAAAATGATGGGTCTTTAAAGGATGCCGAAAATAAAATTTATAGGCCAGACATTATAGGGTTTCTGAGATAGAGATGAAATGTTATAGAGAGGTGAAGAGTCTAAAGATATGGATAGAGGATAGACATATTTCTGGTTGTGTAAAATTGGTTCAAGGGCATTTTTGTCCTTTTAAATAAAGTTAATTACATCTACAAAATGTCAGCAACTTTGTTCTTTATTGTGGGTGTATATGCATAATTTCTCAGATTTTGTTTGACACAATTAACGGTACCAATTAAGCTGAGAAATTATCTTCTTGCTTGTAAAGTCGCTATGGTTTAAGAATGAAAAACTACTGAAAAAGGCTATTGCTTAGTTCTGTAAAGTTTTACTATGATATAACCTTTAAATGGTACTCATTATTTGGTTAGATATGATTGTATGTTATTAGGACACAGAAATTTTGCTATAAAGTTGTATTTTTGGCCACTAATTGCAAAGGTAAGACATCAAATCTTATCCCCTTGTGTTTTTAATATTTTTTATTGGATTAGGTGGTGGGGGGTAATTGAATTTTCCAAACATACTCGGTTAAGGGTGAGGTCTGGGAGGCATTTTAGGTTTTGGTCTAGTCCATTTTGTGGGGATAGGCCAATAGTTCAGGATATCTCTAGATGGTCATGTTTTGGTAGCTGTTTATTATAGCCTTGATAGCAGAAGGTCGACTTGGGATATGCAGTTTGTGAGATCTTTCCCGAGGATTGGGAGGTGGAAGACATTGTTGGGTTCTTGGTGGTGTTGTACCATGAGAGGGTGGTACGTGAGGGGCAGACGTATGGGTTTGGGAGGATTTCAGGCAAGGTAGGTTTGAGTTGTGCTCTTTTTACCAGGGGCTTCCAACAACTTGGGGGTCTGCCTTTCCTAGTAGGGCAGTTTGGAATACCAAAGGTTTCCTCAAGGTGGGGTTTTTTTTTTTTTTTTTTGGATGGACGGTTGTTTTGGGGAGGATCTTGACAATCGACAAGAACAAGGCTTCAAATCTTGGTAAATTGGTGCTCATGTGCAGGAGGGATGAGGAATTGTTTGATCATCTTCTCTTATATTTTGTGGTGGCTGGGATGTGTGGACATGTTTGTTTCCCTTTTTGGTTAGCTGGGTCTTTTCAGTTTCCACATTGAGCATGCTTGAAGCTTGGAGCAGGTGTATATTGGGTCGCCAGCCCAGGATGCAAGGAGAGTGACTCGACTTCGTATTTGGTGGGGCTTGTGGTGTGAAGGAAAAAGGGATGGAATCTTCTATTTGATATTAAAATCGTCGATTTTTTATTCTCTTTTTTGTTGGGTTAATGGGAGAGATTGTAGAGGACTTTGTAGCCTTTGTGGATAGTTTGAGGGTATAAGGGATATTTTGGCTTGGAGCTTATTTTTTGTACATGTTCTCTTGGGCGTGCCTCCCTTTTGAGTCCTTTTAATGAAAATATTACTCAAAAAAAAAAAAAGGTGTTAACCTAAGGACATCAATATACTCTCTTTTTGCTATTCCTATAACCTTGCATGGTACACTTTGTGGTCTTTCCCTGAGGAATAAACTCAGATCGTTTAAATTTTGTGATGTTCCTAAGCACATTCGAAATCCTTGTATTGGTGAAAGTAAATTTGATAGAGAACTGTTCGCTTGAATCCTCCCCCTAGCATGAAGTGAAATTTTTTTTTTTTTTTTTCATAATTGATAATGAAAAGAGATTGAATTAGAATATGAGTGAGATTTGACAAGATTCAGGCTTTTGTAGCATAGTAAGGAATATTATTTTACGGAGTATAAACCACCTCAGCTACTAATCTACAATTACTTTCTGGGAGTTGCTATTATTAGAGTGTTTTGTAGCTTCCAAATGGCAGTTAAAGCAATAGGGGACAGTTTCTGCAGGCATATTGAAAATAACCAAATTGTGGTGTTGTTTCTTGATGGATTTTTTATATTGGCTGATTCCTCATGTTATATCCAATATTGGTGACAAATATGTAACCAAGTTTTTTTTTTTATTGTGACGTTGCTTTTGGCACAATTGTTTGTTGCATAATCTGGTGGCATTACTTGAATCATCATTGCAATTTTTTTTTTTTTTTATTATACGTAGTACAGTAGGTTGCTACATTTAGCAGGGTCTGAAAGAGGTGGAAGGTAGGCAGCCTTACTCCTACTTCTAGATAGGCTGATTTCGGGACTTGAACGCGCGTCTTTGCGGGGAAAAGATGAGCACTTGAATCACCATGGGAATGTTAAAACAAGCTTATTTGTTGATTTTCTTAGAAACCTTTTGGTAAATTACGAGAAAAAGTTTATAATTTTTATTAGATACAACTGGCTTCTTTCAAATTCAGTGCAGAACAACATGCAATTTACTTTTCAACCAAATCTTCTTGTGTTAACCAACCATTGTTCTTAGCTTCTAATTCATTGTGTAGTTTTTTCTTATTTATTTTATCTAATCTTCTTGTGTAAATAAGTTTTTGTCTGACTATCTTCTTCTATGGCAGATGACTCTGGGAGACAATGGTAGACAGGTACTGAAAATTAGAAATCTGTACTGGTCTAAAAGTTTGCTATATTCTTAACTTTGTCTGCAAATAATGACTTCTCTTATGGTGCTGGTTGGTAATAAAGGATAGTCAAATAGATGCTGGAAAAGAAGCAACTAAATGTCATCATCAATGCCTTAAGGTGGTGGAATTGGTTGGGTTTGTTGGGAGTAGCAGCAGCGAAGTTGATCTTGTTTTTCACATACTTGAGGTTACCGCATCACTCGAGAAGATAATTATTGATCCACGTCCTGTGTTGTATCAGTTTTATGCCAAATATTCAGAGCAAGTCAGGACAATGGAAGCTGCTAGAGAGCGTGCCAGGCAGCTTAAAACAAGATTACCTGCAGCAGTTGAATTAGTGATACTTTAGTTAAATAAAAAATCCCAGTCCTATGTCTACTTGTAGGGAGGGTAACTATTTCTAGTGATTATTTTTTCTTCTTCTCATGTTATTCATCATCTAAAAGGTTTGGAACTTTATCTGCGGGATACAATTGAAAGTAAAGCTAAGCTTCTATGACTGGCTTTGGAAAGTTTGTGTTGGATTATTATACCCTTAATGGAAATTATTAAATTTCTTCTTCATGTGCGGTTCAACATTTGTATGAAATGATCAATCTCTATTTCATATAATTTGCATGCTTTTGGACCTTAAAAGTCACTGATATAGCTATTTTTTTGTCTGATTGTAGATGAATTCCATCTAAAAAGGGGCTAGTGTTTTGGACCCTAATGACCGTGGGCCTTTATCCTTTCCTTCCACAAGAGGTAAGCAAATAACTTTACTGTTATTAACATTTAGGGTAAATTGCTATGACACCCCTTCAAGAGGACACTTTCAAATTTAGTAAACTGAACAAAAACAACCCCCCAACATGGTGAAAATACATATTTACCCTATGACCACTTAAAATGACCAAAGTAATCTCATTCAATATACACACATTACATGTATACTTCTCTCTCTCCACTCACCACCGCAACTCCACAACCACCAGTCACCATCACTGCAACCTCCACAACCACCCCATTTTCGGCCCACCACCACCACCGTCCACAACCATGGAAACATCCATTACCTCAACAAAAACACCCAAAACAAACAAAGATCCAATACTCCAAATGAACTTCCATCCAAACCACCAAAGGGCCTTTGACCCAATGGTATAACATCTCCATCTTCAAAGAGGAGGGGGAGGGGTTCGAGTCCAAACGTGGGCAAAAAAGTGTGTGTGTTTGCTTTATCATCCAAAAAAAAAAAAAAAAAAACTTCCATCCAAACCCATTTCTAATCACTCAATGATAAACCAAAAAAATTGAGGATTTTGAGCTAAAAGGAGGAAAGACATACAGACACAGTGAGCCAATGGAAATCGCCACCGCTCGCAACCACGTCCCCAAACGCAAACGAGCCGCCGTCGGCCCACTCTAAACGGCAACATCGGCCTATGCTCGTCTCTGCTCCTCCCATGTGTTAGGGCGGATGTAGGGGGGCTTTGGTGGGCTTTGAGACCACCCCAAAATATATTTTTGGGTCCGCCCTTGGCATAGCTACTTCCCAAATCTCAAAAAAAGGTTATAATAATAAAAATAAATTAAAATAAGGAGAGAGAGAGAGAGTAAACAAATTAAACAGTGAGCATCCATCACTCAGTGATTGGATAAGGCGAAAGAGAGAAGGGATTGCATGTTGTGGGAAGGTTCGAAGAAAGAGCTTGGGAGGTTCCAATCGGCTGTAATGATGGTTTCAGCATATATATATATATATATATATATATATATCTCGTTGTGTTAACAGACTGCCAAAGTGTCTGTCTAATTCTCCAATTGCGTCCTTTTATGAAAACAAATGATCTAGGGACTGTAATTCATTGTCTACTTTCTAAATGCACGGGCTTAAGTTGGTTTGTTACAACAATTTTCAGATTTGGTTATTGAAACTTTCGTGCTTCTGCATTTTTGGGTTTTTACAGGAAATAAAGAGCTGATCAATTGCTAGTCCCATTTTTTATTTTATTAATTTTTGGTTATACACCACATGTATCTATTATGCTCTTCATTTGGAGAAATTATTCAGTACCAATAAGCTATCATGTCATTGTGCTGACATGGTACCTCCATCCTCTACAAACACGACACGTGTCAAAAATTTCACAAAATAGGGAAGGTAGCAAACGGAGGAGTAACTCCATCTGAAATTTCAAAATCCCTCCGCCTCTGTTTTTTATTTTTTTAACTCAAATTTCAAATTTTAAAAATCTGACTAAAGATTGTATGCTCTAAAAGCTTCTCTCTCTTAATTCTCACCCTCTTTCTCTCTCCTGAATCTATCCATACACTGAAAATCATCCCAAGCTGTCCTTCATCACCGGAACACCATGGCCGTGAGTAGATCATTGTGGTGGCTGACATTCCATGGCCGTGACTATCACAACCTTCAAAGAAAGCACCTTCGATTTCACCATGGTTGCTGTCTACTTTGATTCCGGCAGTAGCAGACTCGAGAGCTTCACCTTTCACCACTCAGGTGTTGTTGCTACAACCTTGTCTTTGTAGCAATGGACAGATGCCCAAAAATGGTGTATTTTTTTTTTAAATATCAATGAAATTTTTGAATTTTGTTATTTTTGTTTCTTTTGCTTCTTGCACCTTGTTCATCTATACGATCCATTCAATTAACATTTTATCTGATTTTTAACTTTTTTATTATTAATGATATCACTAACTCAGTAATTTTTTTTACTTATCACTCTCTGTTATGAATTGAGGATGCTTCTTGTGATTGCGAATTGGTGGCTCCATTAAAGGCTGCAATGATGGAAATAGGGAGATTAATAACAGCACCATCCTTTAACCAAGAGACAAAGAAATTTTTTAAATTTACTCCTCCGTTTGTAACCTTTCCTATTTTTTGAAACTTGTGCTGACATGGAATATTTTTTAATTTTTAACACATGCCATGTTTGTAGTGGATGGAGGTTCCATGTTAGCACAATGACACAGTACCTTTGGGGTACCGTTCATTTGATTTTAATTTGAGTTACGTGCGGAATACTGGTTAATAATGCATCAAGGGCAATTTTGTCATTTACATTTCCTGATATATTGCATTAATAATAATAATAATAATAATAATAAAGAGCAATCTCAACTTTCTTGGAATAACAGGACTAGAAGGGTGTCATTATAATTCATCCTATTATTTGAGTTGATGCCAAAAGTTATAGAGTGAAAACACCCAAATTTAAATGGAACCTGTAGCCCCGCGCATAATTAATTCATCAAATGTGAAAATGTAGAAAATAATTCCAATTAGTCTTTTGCAAAGAGGACGTTACTGTTTTCTTTCCTTTTTAAATTTAAAAATAAGTACAGTAAGAAACAATCAGTCAATTCCAATATTGATTAATGTTACAGTTTTTCATAAGTTCCTAAATACTCTCTCGTATTTAGGTGAGTATGGGTACTTCTAGTATGTAAGCAAGCAAGTGCTTATCAATAGAATTGAGTGGTTAAATCTCTAAAAGGAGTTCATGCAGCATATAATCCAAATTTTTACAAAATAAGCGTATAAAAAAAATCCGAGCAAAAAATGTATAATAAGATCCAGATTTTGGCAACTGAAAATATGGGTTGCACAAGAAAATTGAGATAAAAAATATTGGCAACCACTGCACACGGGTATTAGAAGTCAAAAAGTTGTTCAAGTTTCCGAATAAGCCAGTAAACAAGGCAATAAAAATAATATGTCTATTTTGAAGAAAATATGGGACTTTCTTGCTTTGCATAAAATCCTCTTAGGACCCATACTGCACGTTCCATTGATCATTTGAAGAGTTATGCATATATTTGATTGTTTATCATGTAGAGAAATAAAAGATAAAATACTGTTGCCTCTGCAACGTCCCGAGGTGTATGATGCTATTGCTCCTGGGAAACGGCTTAAGTTTGCGAGAAACAGGGCACAAGCAGTGCTTTTTAAAGGTCCACAAGGTACTTTAACAACCACTAGTTTCATGTCATAAATGGTGCATCTAGAATATCATTCCACACTTTTAAGTTTGTTTTGTAGGATGACATAATTACCCAGAGTGCATATTTAATTTCAGGTACTGGGAAGACTTATTCTGCTCGCCTAATTGCGAATGAAGTGGTATTCTATTTTCACACCGTTTATATGATTTGAGGAAAACTGATTTGATTATTTGGTTGTCACGAACATAAAAGCAAAATAAACTAAAATTAAAAAAGAGAAGATCAAGGATAGAGATAGTTAGAGATTGACTTCACCACGAATCTCGTATTATGGTCAACCATTCAACCTTGGGAATTCACCATTTATGTATCAATTGGATTAAACTCAATAACATTAATTTAATCCGGGTTTTAGAGAGAGATGTTTCATTGAACTTAGCTAACTACTGCGTATAACTTATCTTCGGTTTGCACGAATTATCCACCTACCTGCTTCTAACTAATGTTGTAATATAACTCGTTTTCCCCGGATATAGATTATAAAAGAGTTCATTTATGAAAAATGTCGGAACACCATTGCATAGTCTTTATTCTTATGTCCCATAAGCCTCCAACAATACCGTCCAATAAGAATGGGTTGAGAACAGTTTAAAAATAATTATATCTAAAACAATGTAATAATTTTTCAAAACCATTAATTAAGCAGCCTTACTCCTATTTCTAGGTAGACTGATTTCGGGACTCAAGCCTGCGTTATTGCGGGTAACAGATGAGCACTTGAATCACAGTGGGTCTGTTTGGTTTGAAAGAAGTAGGAAAGGGAAAAAATGGAAAAGATTTAATTTTTTTGAGTTTGGATAGGATAAAAAGGAAAATTTATAAGAAATTAGGATTCCTACAAGTGGTTGATTTTTTCCAAAACATTTCCAGCATAAAAATGAAAATTTTAGTCTCTCGCAAATTTGTGTTCTACATTTTAGTTTTCTATTATGCCATTACCAGTTGTTTCTCCATCTCTCAGCCTTAACAATGCTGAACATGCCGCAAAATATTTGTTCAATTGTGCTAATACAGTAGTTTATGTGGCTCACAAGTTGGGTGCCTTGGCTATGAATGCTACATTAGAGGAGGTGTTTATGAGAACGAGTTTCCTGGCAAGATTTGAAATCTAGCACAGGAAAATGTATTGATGACAAGATTAGAAGTGTAGAACAGGGAGATGTATTAAGACACTGATGTGTATTTTGGTGTTTTTCTGATCAATGGTCTAAGGCAAACATTTGACATTAGGTGAAACTCATCGGCAGTGTCGTAATTCGACCCACCACTCTTAAATTTGTATCTATGCCCATGCTCTAAAAAACTTTATTTACAACAAATTTGTATTCATTTTTATTTTTTAATATATATTGCAGATGTATATAGTGTTATTTTACCCAAAAAAAAAAAAAAATACACCGGTTCATTCAATGAAACAGTATGAAACAGTTGAAAATTATATGTTATTGTAAAAATTGAGAAGACACACTTTAATTTTTGGAACTTGAAAGTTGTAATGTTAGTTGTATTAAGAATAAAGTCAAACCATTGATGAGTTCCGCATAAGAAAAATTTCTCTCTTTTTATATTTGAGAAAACTATAAAATTAGATTTGTATCACACTTTGTGAAAGGTAGTGGAGATTCTTACAAATCTTTGTAGATATATTTTTTTTTAAGAAATTTTAAATTTTGTTTGTAATGGTAGATATTTATTTTGTTTTTCGAAGTTTATATCTTTTTAGTAATAAAATGAGTTGAAAACACTTTTAGGATTTAAGCATATGCATAAATGTATTATGTGATATTCTAATCTAGTTTAATTTAATATTTTAATTTTAATAAATTATACTTATGCATATATATATATATATATATATATATATATATATAGGTTATGAAGAAAAGACGGGAAAAATAGAGAATTTTTTTATTTACTTTTAGATAAACTTAGTTGATTATTTGAATTAGAATATTTTTATAATTAATTTGTGATCAATTTATGATGTCATAGTTATTGATTAATTATATTTAATTAGTTTATTTTTTTAATGCTTATTGTGATAGTGTCAATTTGTATAAAATGAAAATTTATTTTATTATTTCTAACATTTTCTTATTTATTTTATTATTTGTTGCATTTTCTTTTAATGTCTTTACATGGTTATGATACATAATAAAATAAATAATGTATGTATATAGTGCCGAATTTTTAATCCATACAATGTATTATATATGCATGTATCCATATTCGAATTTTTATGTTTTCGTTTTTTCAGCCGAAATTTTACAATGTATTTTTTTTAAAAAAATTGAATTATACTTTTACGTTCTGAATCCCTTTTTTTTTTGGTACCGTATTTTACTAACTATGCTCTACATAACTTTGAAAGACTTGAAACATCACCCCACCTGGAATTGGTTGGGTTTGTTGAGAGTAAGCATAGTAAAATTGTTGGGTGAAACTTCTAAAATCTACTAATTATAACACTCCATGTCACCAAATTGATCTTGTTTTGCACTTATTTGATATTGTTGTACTATTCTTTTATTAAAAAAATTAAAAAATAATGAAATTGATTGGATTTGTTGAAAGTAGTGGCAGCAAAATTGATCTTATTTTGTTGCTGCATCATCCATTACCATGTCTTCTAGGGGGAAGAGTAAAAATTTTTGGTGATTATATTTACTTATTAATTATAGCAGGATTACAATTGAAAGTAAAGTTAAGCTTCTATGGCTTTGAATTTTTATGGAAATTATTTTAATTTGCCCTATATTTGTATGTAATGATCATCTCTATTTTCTACGATTAGCTCATTTAATCGTGTTAATATGTTTGATTAGAAAGTTTACCAATTGATTTGTAGAAAAGAACATGAAGGAAGGGCTCTAAAATAATTGAACATGACTTTTGAATGATATATATATATATATATATATATATATATATATATATATATAGGACAAGTGCAGTGTAGCACTTTTATTATCTATTTGTAAAAGTGTGTAAAAAACACCTTTAATATTTTCACATTGTGCAAAAATACTCCTCAATCAAAAATCTGACATAAATTAATGTTATAATATTCGTTTTGCCCTTTTACTCTTCTAAAAATGCCCAATTGGATATATATGCTACTAATATCATAGTACAAGGGTATTATATGCACATTACCTTCTTCTTTTTCTTTTTTCTTTTTTGAAACTTTTTTTTTCTATATATATTTTCTAAATTTTTTTTTTTTTTTTTTTTTAAAAAAACTTTGAAAATTTATAGAATAAGGATTTGAATTTTTTGAGATTTCAATTTACAGTTTTCTACTAAATTATTTTATTTTTCGTACCTACACTGTTAAAAAAAAAAAAAGAAGAAGAAAAAAGAGGAAAAAAATCTTAATATTGGTGTGCAGTGGTTTTCGGAGTTTGGAGCAGATTTGTTTTCTTTAGTTTGTACTTTATTTTCACTTTTTATTTTCTATTTTTATCTTTACTTTTCTTTTATGCTTATATTTTTATTTTCTATTTTTATCTTTACTTGTCTATTACCCGCGTTCTCCAATAGTGTCATTTTTTATCATTTTACAAAATTATTTATTTTTATACATTTTTAAAAATAGTTCAATAAGGGTAATTTAGTCAATTTAGGGTTTAAATTTGTCAGAGGGACCTATTTATACAAAATTGAAACTTCAGGAGTATTTTTTGCATGTGAGGGGCGTCTTCCAATAGTGTCATTTTCGGTTATTTTACAAAATTATTTATTTTTTATATATTTATAAAAAAATTTAATAAGGGTAATTTAGTCAACTTAGGGTTTAAATTTGTCTGATGAACCTATTTGTACAAAATTGAAACTTTAAAGGTATTTTTTTGCACGTAAGGAATGTGATATGCATTGTAAATTTGTTTTCTGTACTTTACCCATACATATATATATATATATATATATTAACACTACCATTATATTAGAGTAGAAACAAAACCATTATATAATGGTGTTGTTATATATATATATATATATTATTGTTTTCTAAAGAGGCTCGTGTAGATAGAGAGTGTAGTATTATATAATGGTGGAGGTTATGAATGGTATCTTTTATTCTTTGTCAATGATTTGTTGAATTGTGAACCACACTCTACACCTTAGGTTCTAGCCTTCAAAGGTCTAAGGCTAAATTAAGTTTACCGATGGTAAAGAACACCGAAGTGGATCCGGTTCTAAGAATCACATAAAAGCTCCTTTATCTTAGAGTAAGTTATAATATACGTTTTTCCTTTTTATTCTTTAGAAAATGTTTAAGAAGTGTGTATGATAATAATCTCATAATATGAAGCTGATATGTGTACTTTAACTATATTCAATCCACATTTAAAAATTTTCTTTCACCTTTTCGAATATTATTTTTTAGCTCTATATATTTATGCTAACATATATTATCTCTCTTAAAAAAATAAAAAATAAAAATTATTGTCACAATTGTCAAATTAATGTACAGTATATCATATGGAATGAAAACTTTAATTCCTTTTATAATTATAAAAAAGAAAAACTAATTCCCAATTAAACTTTAATATTAAAAATTTAAATGATATTTATTCATTATATATAAATAATTCTTTACATAGCAACAAATGGATATTCAATTTTTATTGCGGAAAAAAAATACAAGTGGGTGTTCAATCACTTAACGTCATCGTACTATTCAAATCGCGATAAAACTACTTTCTCAATTAAATCTAACATCAAAAGATTCATAACAACAATAGTTTATTAAGTGTAGAAAATATCCATATAATATGTTTACGGTGCGTATCACATTCCCACTTTAAATGACCATTTTTGTCATTTCAAAAAATCATGCATTTTAAATAATATGTAAAATGTGTATATAACTATATAAGGGCAATTTAATCAAATTATAATTTATATGTGTCAAGAAAGATGTATTTGTATCAAATTGAAATGGTGTTAAGGGATGTGATATTCATTATAAAAAATATATATATATATTTTACCCTTGACCCAATTTTTGTGCCTACAATAATAGTGAGGTAGATCACATCAATATTTTTGTCAAATTTATTATTACGAGACTACATGACTTTGATTTCATTAAAAGTATTCCATTTATTTATTACTAATATAAATATATGTTGAATTTGATTATGAGATATTACTCTGGGATATTATTACTTTCTGTGCTTGCATTCTGGTGGAACTATGTGCGAGTTTATTTGTTGGACCATCTGGAAATGCTGAAATGACTTTATATAAAACCATCTTTCTGTGGTTGATCCGTGGCAAAGTAGGTTAAAATCATACATAATTTTCTACGAATTTAAACTTCATTTTCTTTATATAAAATTGGAACTCTAGGATTTGAATGGTATATTCTGATGCTGCAACTATTTTTCAGATTATGAAAAAGCTGAATCTAATACTAATTTTCATTCCTCACTTAGCCTCTTTTCCCTTTCTTTGTTTGGTTCATTTCTTCTTTCTCTGCACCACATTTAATTGTTGGATTAAAAGTGGTAAATATGCCAGAATTACACAAGCTCTGAAATGGTATTTATAACCAAACTAATTAAGAACAAAAACAAATTTCCATTATGTAACAAAAGGCCTCGTATGAACAACTTATGTACACCTTCAAATGACATACAAGGATCCTTTGTCAAGGCATCACTAATTCAGGACGAACCTCGCTCTACCTTCCCGGCATTAGGATGACTTAACCCTGGGTTTCATAGAAGGAGCCAACATCCCAATTAGGCCGGTCAACGGATCGAATTCGGATCAATCAAATTCATATTCGATTTGTTAAGTTAACGGAATATTGAATTTCGATCACTTATCTGAGTTATCGAATTGAATATTTCAATTCATATCCAATTTAGCTCGGATTCGAATATGATTGGATTTGGATGCATGTTAGATGGATTATAGAATTGCTAATATATATGATGGTGAATAATATAATTATGCAACCAAATAAATATAATGGTAAATAATTAATATATGTAAATTTAATAGTAGATAACTAATATATACAACATTCATATATAGTAAATTGTAATGCAACAATATAGTTATATATATATATATATATATATAATTTGAATCAGATCGAATCAGTATCCGATCGGATTATCTATAGTCAATATCCGATTTGTTAAAGTAAGAATTATGGAATTCTGATCATTACTTAATTAATTTACTTTCCAATCTACATTCAGATAATCATACTCGGGTCAATTTTGGATCAGAATCCGATCAATCGACAAGTCTAATCCCAATCCTCAGTAGTGGATGAAAGCATCATTAGTGTAACCACAATTGATCTCATAATTGGCCTCAGTTGAGGATTTTCGTGTGTGCAAGCAGTGGTTAGCTGAGCCATCTGTAATCAAAACACGGTTTGATTTATTAGAATTAAGATCACTTGTATAAAACTTAAATTCACTGGGATCTGTTTCCACCTTTTGGACTGAGTCAATGGGATAGTTATCAACCAATTTGCTTAGATCTTCTCTAGGATCAGGCTGACTATGAACTTCGTCAAACTGCGAAACACCAACAATGTACAGTTAAATTTAGTAATGCTTTTCATCACACTTTCGTCCTTTTTTTTTTGCGCGAAACTTTAAGAGTGTTTTTTGCATGTATTTTTTATTATCATTTTTTTTTTTTTAATGCTTTTCATTTACATTTTTTACCCTTTTTTTTTGTCTTATTCCCTACTTGAATTTGTTTGTCCTTTTTCTACTAAGATAAAGAGAGTATAGAGAGACAAGTTTCAC